GGTGATCACACGGCATTTGAATGAAAAGTAAAATAAGGCAAACTTGGACCCAGAGTGCAAACCCAACATTCCCAGAGGAAAAACCTACCAAGGAGACAGAGTTAGTGTATCTAATTTGTGTACTTAAACCTCTATCTAACTAATCATTTTCTCTCTCACAAGGATGTTATGCTAGGTAGAATAGCATCAAAATATTATTGAAGTCCAGACAATGACACGTGGTGACCAATTAACTATTAATTTCCTCAATTCCTTTCCTTCCATAGTCTTCGACTCTATCTCAGAGGGAGACTGAGCTGGTTTTAGATGACTTCCTCCATGATCAATTCTGTTTTCTCTTGAGAGTCCCGGCCTCTTCTGTTTTGGACTAGTCACTACTTCACCCCTTTCCCCTTGTACAGTAGGGCTTTGTAAATGGGCTGTCCAAATCGATTGCAGTTTTGCAAATCCATCGGCATGAATATCCCATTATAAACATATTGAGAAACCAAAATTACTCTGTCGGCTAGCAGACAGAATACTGTTCACTCACTCACAGCTGGGCAGCAAATGATCGCCACAGCAGAATGGATTTTTCACTGACAATGGGAGAAAGCTTGCAATGGATCTAGAATCAGTTATAATCCCATACCGGCATCTTACTATATGAAAAAAACTGGCCCATGAACATATTTGCCATGTGATAAGCTTCTTACTTACTTTTTGGTCTTTTACAAATATATCCTTTGTAGGAAGAACAGTGAATATTATTCCAAAACCCAGAAGATGCGTCTACAGCTACACAATCATTTCGTTCACCAGAGGGATCTCCAGTATTCCAGTTGACAAAGGAAACTGGATTGTTGTTTATCCAGAGCCACATCCCTGATCAACAAATAAAACCAATAAAAACAGAAGCTAAAAATAACCCATCTCAAAACAAGTTCAGCTTGCTATGCAGAATTTCTAAGCATATTATTTTATACTAGAATCAATAACTGTTCATAACTAAATACGCAAGACTATGATTATTATAGTGAAGTAAACCACACATGGAGAATAGGTTTATTATATAGCTTGAGTTGAAAACATTTTTCTAATTAGCACAACTATTTATGCCTATCCTTCCCTAGCTTCTTTATTTTGGGAAAAAAATGTTCTTTAAACCTTTTTAAACTTAGCTAGAGAATATATTTTTTTAATTAGCAACTGTGAAGATAATATAATATGATAAGAACTTTAGGTTCTTATCTCAAATAATCATGAGAGTTTGAATTTTCAAACTCATCACAAATTAAGCATTATTTAAGGCAAGACTTTCCAAAACTGAAGCTTCATTATACATACAACATTTTGAACTATTTGCAATTAAATAAGAGTTCTGCAAAAGTTACCTTCAACATTTCTGAACAGTCCTATCCAAAAATTGGTTTTACTTTTAAGAGGTTCAACCCGATATGACAGAAAACTGGATTCAGCAGCATTTTCAATGGAAACCAGAGTGGAACCTGCAAGAGATTAAAAGGAAATATATGAAACTTTAAGTAGCTGAAAATATTTTTATAAACAGTGTTGATGGGAGCAATAAAAAATCAACCCAGCATCTCCACTAAAGAGGAAGAATTTCAAAGATTGAGCATTTTGTTTTCTTCAGTTTCAATTCTGGAAAATGTGGCTTTTAAAACATCATTTGTGTACAAGCATGGACTAGTACCTGCAAACATGAGGATTACATAGAAAAAGTCAATAAAGTTATGGGTCAGGGACCAGTTATAAATTCAGAGTACAAAGGAATGTAATAGGAGAAAAAAATCAGTGCAATATGCTTCAGCCTCATCAAATATCCACTCCAGGTGAAGCAACTAAAAAGCAGGATGGAAAAAAAAATAGAATTTAAGAAGATAGGAGTGCAGCATTTTACAGACAAGGGACAGAAAATAATTCCAGGAGGAAATAATAAGAGGAAAGGCAAAGAAGGAGGGAAGCACAGAACTTCTTTAGGATCAGAGATGGCTTAAAGTTCCAGTGTAACACTAATCTGGGAAGATTAAAAAATATATATATGGGTTAGGACTGTCTGCAGATGGCAGAAGATTGGTAATGTGGTAATAAAGAACATTTTTTGAGGCATCAGAATGATGCAATGTATTATAGGAGTATTATTCCAGCTTCATTCATGAATGTCACCCATAGGACGGTTCAAAGGAAGAACAGAGAGCAAAGTGGAACACCAGACAAGCTGAAATTAATAACTCACGATGAATGATCAGCATTAGATTTTATAGTAGTAATCTAAAGATTTATAATAATAACTAATCTACTTCAAGCATTTAATGACAGACATTTTGTTTTGGACTTTAGAAGCATTATCTCATTAAATTTTCAGAAGGCCTCATTAAGTAGGTACTATTAATACCCTATTTTGTAGATAAGGAAAATAAAGTGCAGAGGATAAGTAATTTGCTAAGATCCTCACACTAACAGGGCGTTAAGTTAAGGCACCCTGAATAAATCATCATACACTTACATCCCATTTTACTGAGTCCTGAGTTGTTTCCTTGGTTTTTATTTTATTTTTTTATTTTTTGCATTATTTTATAATTCATTCTTAAATATATTTTATTGATATTAGCCATTAGAAATACTTGTGACATACTTTAATGATGAAGATCATTCATCTTTTTGACCAGATAAAACAGTTACCTGAAAATGAAAACAAAGTTCCTATATATTCATTACAAAAATTTTAAAATGTTTAACAACATGAAAGAAAACTTTTTTTTAATTTAAAAACTCCAAAGCAGAGCAGGGTAAGGACCTCTAAAAATCATTTCCTTCACAAAAACATTGAGAATGACAACAAATTTGTCAAAATCAACTTTTGTCAAAAGCAACTTTTTCAGAATGCTGAAAATTAGACAGAGGCTTGCATTTTATGGAAGAAAATGATTAGATCTAGGTAATGACAGTAAGCTTTGTGGTGTTTTTACTTGTACTAATACTATTTCCATTAAGGTCTATAGTGACCTTAAACACCAACAACCCTACCACCACAGTAAAAATCAGCAGCTTAGAAGGCACTAAAAGAATGAGAACAACCGGATTGGAGCCTTTTCCAAGCTGCATTCTCAAAGAATGTCCCTTATTTATCCTGTCTGATAATTCCCTAGAAAACTCCACTTGAAAACCAACAAAGATGTTGTGTCCGCCGAGAACTAAGAAATAAATATTAAAAAAAAATTAAAAAAAAAAAAAAGAAAAGTGTATCCTTATTTGACCTTATTCAGAGATCACTTATTGTCACTTGTTTCCTGGGAACATGAGTTTAAAAAAAAAACAAAAAACTTATCAGTGGCAATTGCCTATGACATTGATAAGAGTAGGGGCAAACAATAAGCTAACAAAAAATTAAAAGCAAGAGCTAGAGAATAAAATGTCCACAGGGGACTTTAAAAGTATTGACACATTTGTAGGGAACTAAAAGGTCACAGACACACACTGGGTGTGCATGTGCCCAGGGCTGTGTGCATGCCTGAGAAAGATAAGAAAAGGTCTTAAAGTTTTCACTTCCATCTAATCTTTACAAAGGCTTTACAAAAGCAGGAAGTGAAGGCTAATGCAGAGTTTTAAATAGCTTGGATGGGTGTTGAAAGCACATCCCAGCACACACAGATCCCCTCAGCAAAACCTGGGAGGCTTAATTAGTTCTAGGCACTTTATAAAACATGTGTGTACCATGTCTAGGAAATCCACATCTATGCACATCATTATCAAATTGTCCAAAGACTGAGCATCATGAAACTAGCAAGAAGGACATGACTCAACACATACAGAGATTTTTTTTTTTCTTTTCCGTGCGGGAGATTGACCCCTGGGCCTCACACATAATAGGCAAGTACTCTACCATGTCCCTAGCCCACCAGATATCTTAACACTGATTTCTCATCAGAAACCATGGAGGTTAGAAAGTTGTCAGAGGAAATATTCAAAAAGCTAAAATAAAATGAGAAATTTTCTATCCAGCAAAACTATATTTCAAAAATCTCAAGGACTCAGGAAGCTGAGGCAGAAGGATCAAAAGTTCAAGGCCAGTCTCAGCAACTTGGTAAGATTCTGTCTCAAAATAAAACATTAAAAGGAGGCTGGCAATGTAACTCAGTGGTAAGTGTCCTGGGTTCAATTCTTAGTCCATAGTACTGAAAAATAAAACAAGGAAATATTAAAACATCCCTGAATTGTTTTGTTTTAATGAAGAACCAGGCATGGTGGCATATGCCTGTAATCCCAGTGACTCTGGAGGCTGATGCAGGAGGATCACAAGTTCAAGGCCATCTTCAGCAACTTAGCAAGACCCTCAGCAACTTAGTGAGACCTTATCTCAATATAAAAAATAAAAATGACTGGAAATATATCTCAGTGGTAAAGCACTCCTGGGTTCAACCCCCAGTACCAATAAATAGGAATTTTCACTATGAGATACTAAAGAGGATCCTTCTGAATGGAAAGCATCATGCTAAGTGAGCTAAACCAGACTCAGAAAATCAAGGGGCAAATATTTTCTCTCATATGTGGAAGGTAGAGCAAAATAAGGGAAAGAAAGAGATGGGGGTGGGATTTAGCTATAAAGACAAAGGGAAGATCAGTGGAGTAGAAGGTGGAGAACAAGAGGGAGGGAGAAGGACAGGAAATATAAGATGAACTCAACAAGGTTATGTTCATATATAAATGTACCAAAGGGAATTTCACCATTATGTATAAGTGGAAAGCACCAATCAAAAATAAATAAAGGAGTAAAAAGAAGATCAATAGAGGAAGGAGAAGAGGGGGAAACAGGAGAGGGGGAAAGGCAGAGGAATGGGGATTAAAACCAAATTCCTTGCATGTATGACTTTGTCAGAATGAACCCAACTACTATGCATAACTATAATGCTATTTAAAAAAAGGATCTTTTGGTCTGAAATAAAATAAAAGCTTTGTGAAATTCAAATCCTCAAGAAGAAATAAAGAGCACACTAGGAAAGGTAAGTACATACGTAAATGTAAAACATGGTACAAATGTATATTTTGTTTATAATTCCTTTTTATTGTATCTATTTTAAATATAGCTACATACAGCAATAATTCTCAATCTGTGTTGTTGCTACAAAGTATAAAGGTGTTTTTATATGATAATAACAGCACAAGGAGGGCAGAGGGACTAGAGACTTGCAAGAGCAAAACTTTATATACAACTAAAATGAAATTTATGTGAATCTGATCTAGATGGTTTCTAATAAAGATGTTAATTGTAATTCCCAGGGCAACCACTAAGAAAATAACTAAAAAATATACAGATGCTCCCTGATGTAATGAAATTATGGCCTAATGAACCCAATGGAAAGTGAAAAAAATTTTAAATTGAACCATAACAAGTTAGAAATTATTTATATAATAAACAAGGGGATTAAAGTAGAAGACTAAAAATTATCTATTTAACATAAAATGGCAGTAATAGAGAAATAGGGAAATCAAAATGCATAAGACATAAAATAATGGCAAAATAGCAGATCAAAAAATGGCAAAATAGCATATCAAATCCAACCTTATCAATAACTACACTGAATTTAAATGGAGGAGACACTAATGGAAAAAATGAAGATTGGTTGGACATTAATGTTAATTAATTAGAAAGATCTAAATAAATAAATATATCTAAAAAGGAGATACAAAGACACAAATAGTTTGCATAGAAAAGAATAGGCTATACAAATAATAACTTAAAAAGAGCTGGAGTAGCTATACTAATCCTAGACATTTAGAAAAAAAAATTATTACTAGAAGCAATGAAGACATTCTGTAATGATAAAGTTTAATCAGGAAAAGATGATAATTGTAAACATATGACCTTATATCAGAGCCTCAAAATTTGAGAAATCAGACTTCATCTCACTCAGAATTTAAAATTTAAGGTCAAGGTTGACTTTTGAAGGAACCAAAAGGAAATGAGAATATTACCCTAATCTTTACATACCTCTGTTGGATGAAGAACCCCCAGTTGGGGAAATAAAACTATAGTAAAGTTAATTCAGTAAGTATTCAGTGGAATTTAATTAAGTGACTTTTAAATGTACCCTGAAAAGTTTTATTTTTCTTAAACATTTTTTTTCCAGAAGGAAAATCATTCATCTATGTCATTTCTATTTTAGTTCTGTTTTGCTTTTTTTTTTTCACTAATATTATGGCCAAATGTAAAAACTTGTCTATTAACAGTAAAGCAAATTGGCTCCTGAGCCAATTACTGATAAGAGTTTGAGCATATTCTGGAAAACTGAGGATGAGCATCCAAACAATTTAGAATTCTGGGGCAGAAAGATTTGTTCCACAAATAACTGATTTTTATCTGCATTTCCTAAAATTTCAAAGTTACAAAATTAGAAATTACATTTAAGAGATATGATGTGGACCATTCTGTTACCAAAAAATAATAATTAAAAAAAAATAAATAGGTGGACTGGGACTGTGGCTCAGCAGTAGTTCAATTGCCTGGACTGTGTGAGGCACTGGGTTCGATTCTTAGCACCATGTATAAATAAATAAAATAAAGATCTATCAACAACTAAGAAAAAAAATTTTAAATAAATAAATAGGTAATTTTACATCCCTTGTATTTGTAATTTATAATGTTATTAATGTCATTGTACTCTACACAATTGGGGGACTTTCTTTTAGGAAATGTGGCTCTTACCCATTCGAAGACACTCTAGAGAAGCTTGACCCCAGTTCCTTGTAAATGAAGACTCAATATAGTAGCAGTGACCATGGAAAGGAATCCATGCAGAGTGCTCTGACTCTGGACATCTGCCAGGCAGTTGTGGGGGTTCAGTGGCAGGTATTTCTATTAATAAAAAAGACATTTAAAGCAAAACCTGAAGTTTCTACAGTATAGAGAATAATATTTTCACAGCTAAGGAAAATTATTATCATCTAACATAAAATAAAAAAGGAAACTTCTAAGGCTCATCATATGGCTCCACCATTTTTTAATTGTTCATTTGTCACTTATTTTAAATACATTTTAACAGAAGGCACTATGAGAATCAATCATACTTATAATTAAAGAGTATAAATCTATAAATATCTACAGTAACGTTAAAAGTTTAGAAAATAATTTTTATAAAGGAATTCCCTCTTTCAAGTCACTCTTTTCTTTTTCTGGAACCCTAGCTTCTTAATTGTAATAATGGTCCTTGTAATATAATTTATGATGTAGTTAGAATTCTGGGCTCTGTCCATGATATCTTTGGTTCTGGCAAATCTACATGCACTATGATATAATGATACAGCTGTGTGGGGGGGGTGGGGATTCTATCATTATAGATTCAGAGGACAACCTCAATAGCAGTCATTCAGGGATTTTAAAAGAGCAATTAAACTCTAGAAATGAAGAAATTTTCCTCTTTCCATTATTTTGACCAGTATGTTCGATTGACAGCCAAGTCCGTCTTTTGTTAGGTAAGGGAAAATGTCTTACTTTATTTTAAGCTACACATGACACATTACCATTTAATAACATCAACAGTGGTGTGTAGGAGCTTATTCAGAAAATTCTAAATTTTCCAACTGTTTTTGTCTATTCAATTACCATCTGATCTTTTGCAGAGAAAGTAAAAACTTTCGTTGCAGTTTGATGTCTTCCAGTAACCATCAACATCTAGGTAAACACATGCTGATTTCATCTTTGGCTCATCGGCTGCCCAATTAGTGTACCTCATCCTCCATTTATCAGTCCAAACATATTCATTATTGGTCTGCAAGAATAAAAACAACAATGAACATGGATGTCTTGCTTCATTTAGAAAATGCCAAAAGAATCAAATGAAGAAAAAGTATATTCAAGGCTGTTATTTGACCAAGAATCTTGAACATATCGGGGGGGGGGGAACATTATAAATAATTTCTACCAACTCAAATTCAGGAAAGGCATCCTTTCTTATAAATGGTTATTTCTTGGAGATTCCTAGGAATACATCTTTTGAAGCTATTTTGAAAAACACTGACTGAAAAAGGAAGTCTGCCTTCTTCCATGAAATTTTCTTTGTTTTCAAGTCTTTAAGGTTTAGGTTTGATCATTATAACAAATAAAATATTTCTTACATTATTGAAGTTATAATAAACTTTAATTTTCATTGATTCATGGACCCCTGAGAGAAGCACTAATCTCTTCTGATCTTTTCATTGTTCTGCTGTAGAAACGGCACCAGTGATAAATGACATGACAGGTAAGGTAATTTAAGTGGCTAAATAACAGAGGCACCATGATCTCTTGACTCCCAGTTAGGTGTCCTTTCAATGATGTGAATCATGTCATTTTTTTAAAAAAGCTGGTTGTTTTATTCCATTGGCACACTAATTTCTTAACACATTTTAAAAATTTTTTAGTTGTCAAGAGACCTTTGTTTAATTTATTTATATGCAGGGCTGAGAATTGAACCCAGTGCCTCACACACAATAGGCTCTACTGCTGAGCCACAACCCCAGCCCCAATTTCTTATCACATTTACCCAGACAAATTTATGGTCACAAATGATAGCATCAAAAATATTATTTATGTCCATTTAACAGTCTAAGGTATTTTATAGCTGACATACAACATTAACTAAAGGTGACTGAATTTTTTAAATAATTCAAACATTTCCCCCTTTTAACTGCATTATTTAATTTACCAAGTCAATTGTCAAAGATCCAATGACAAAAATTAAAAAATATATGTCATCTCATCAGAAATTTTTTTAGTACTTTCCCACGTTTAAATCAAAATCCCTGAAAATCATTGATTCCACAGACATAAGGGAAATAACAGTACTGTTTAGTCATAAATATTAGCATTTTAGAGAACTAATCCTTCTAAAAGCAAAGAAAAGCTTAGTTTAAACTCAAAGAGAACTGTGACCATGTGTCTACAAGAAGAAAATGAACGATTGATCCAGTAGATTAATTATTAAAAACACAGTCAACAGAGATGTAAAAATGTCTCACCTAAGTTTAATCACAAAAATCATATGGATAATTTTAAATATTCACTTCCCTGCTTAGGAAACAGTCGCTGTATAATGTGTAAATGTCCATCTCCACATCAAGTCACTGGAAGCTAATAACGTCTGCCAGCAATCTACTTTCCAGTTTCACCTCCCTCTTATCCTTTTCCCTCTTCTTGACATTCCTTATGTTCTACCATCCTACGCTACATCTAAAAAGGTTGACTCTCCCTGAGGAGTCCTCTTGGTCCTCTCCCCTGGCCCAGCTCCTCCAATAACACTTCGTAGGTGCTCTCTTTAGCACTTCTTATCTTATCCCTTACTGACCTACTAACACCTCTATTTCCTCTATTTTAGAGGTTTTCTGGTTGACTAACTGGGTCAACATGGAAGGACAGATGGACCACAAGGAATCAGAGAAGACTCATTTAGTGATATTTTGGTAACTTATCACACCACTCTTAGTGCTTGGCCTCTTCCCTCACTCTGCCCTATTCACTGACAATCTCCCTTTTCTATGAAAGATTATAGTAAATTGACTGCAGTGAAATACTTCTCACAACATGGATGAAAACTCTACAACCGTGAGACCCATAACAACTCCAGAATAGTTTTTCACCAAAAAAAATTTAAAAATCAAAAATGTCCCCATCACCTAGTAACTATGCCCTGACCTGCTTTCTTAATCTCATGACAGAGTCATAATCATGACACTGGAAAGAAATAAGCAAGTAGTGGAAACTATTCAAATACAGAATATAATTTATTATTAAAAAGCAAGAAAGTGAATATCGGTCAGATCATTCTGAGTTTGATTTCTGACACACACATCACTAGCCTACTAGATCCCTGAAGGCAGGGGATCCTTCTTATTTATGTTGGTACCATTCACACTGCCCACCATAGTTTCTTTCACATAAGTGTTCAACAGAATGAACAGAAAGACAATTATCCAACCACAACTATAATTTTATCAATCATGACAGGTTGTACACATTGTTACATCTTACCAAATTACTGTTCAGAGCAATCCACACAGGTACATTAAACGCATACATCTGCATCCATGCAAATGCATTGCTGTAGGGATCCAGAATACTAGAAATGAGAGAATTGGAATTCTTGCAATATGTCTCGGCATCATACCATGTTAACTTCAATTTCATGAGTGAATAGCTGCTTTCACCATATTTAATAAAGCCACCCTTTGGGGTTGGTGTTGGAGAATAAGGCAAAGAAGGATCTACAAAAAAATTTTTGATTATTTTTATTAGCATTATCAATAATTATTCATTGCACATCACAAATCCGAACTGTCCAGTGTTAAAATAGTTTCATGAGCCATTTTGCATTAGAAATCAGAAACTTTATTTTTAATCCATTAGCCTAATTAAATTAAACAATTTCTGAACTATACTTAGAATACTAAGGCAGGTATTTGATCAAGTATCTAAACTAAAAAAATATATGTATTGCAAATTCAATGTGATCTAATATCTGGATGAACGAAATGTCATCCCTGCATGAGTTTGCATCTGTTCATACCTGTTTGACTCAACCTGTAAGTAATTCACTTTTCACAAGATAGGTTCTAAAGTGAAGCTCTACAAACACAAGCTACTGGTTCATTTAACCTTGGTCTAGGATCAAGCTTTACTCTTACCAGTTATTTATGGAAGCAATAGCTGAAGAAAATGATTTTCTAGGTCCTTCCTTAGACCTTCACCTCTTAACCAAACTGAGCCAGGGGCACATCAGCTCTGGATCTTTCCTCCTTAATATCTTAGTGTGGATTCCTAATGCTTTATGTTCCTGCCTGTATTCCAGGCCACATAAACAAGACACAAGGCAAAGCCTGTCTTTGTTTGTCTTAGCTGATACCCTAGGGCAGAGGTCAGCAAAAAGCAGCCAGAGGATTAAATCTGGCCTATTTGGTTTTTGTAGCCCATGAACTACCAAAGGCTTTTAAATGCCAGGGGGAAAAAAAAACTCAAAGAATATTGCTTAAAATGTAATCATGATATGAAATTCAGATTTGCATCCATAAATAACAAAGTTTGACTGGAACACAGATACACTTTTCTGTTTACATGGTGTTTATGATTGTTGATGATTGTTGATGACCACAACAGAGTTGAACAGTCCCAACAGACATTTGCAGCTGGCACAAGGTAAAATATTTACAACCAGGTTCTTCACCGAAAAGGTGCCCCCTGGCTGAGGTTTCTAAGATATCCTTGCCTACCTGTTTTTGTCCTGGCTCATTTTCTGACTTCTTCCACTTTATACCAGCCAATCCATTACCAACCCTGTTCTGTTACTATAGAAGGACCCAAAACTTTCTCTGGGTTGTGCCTTGTATGAGGTGACTTCATTCCAGCAGGGGAACAGCCTCCCTTTCTTCTGCTGTTACTGCCATCTTGTGTTGATATAATATCATTAAACTAAGGGACCCTGATAGGATCCCTAAAATATTACAGCCCTCATGGAACTGCCCTACAGCTCCCCAACATGGGGACATTGGGCTCATAATAATGCCACTGAGAAAATTTAGAACCATTAAATGTAACAGGTGAGGCTTGAGGTAAAACTCATACAAAAAAAAATCGTGATACAGGTGATACCCAAATAGGTAAACTTAGCTCCTGTATCCATTTTACTTATTCATAAAACACACATATTTTTTAAAAAGTAGAAGGAAAAAATTAAAATATCAAGAGATTGCTTTTGGTGGTTAGAGCATAGCAAAGACGATGTCTTTTAAAACATTGTTTCTTTATGTTAAAAGATTTTCAGATCTAGATAATATAGTTGTAGAGGTTTTGAAAAATACAGAATACCAGAAAAGAAGGAACTTAAACTGCCTTTTTATCCCACTATCTGAAGACAATGATTTATTCCTATTTTATCATATTATCGTGGTCTTTTTAATTGTTGACTTTTAACAGGGGGATAGCAATTTTGATAGTTCATAGCTTATGCAATTTGATATGCTATCTTTTTTCACTGTAACACTGTGAACTTTTCCTTAAGTCATAAAATTTTGAAAATATATTATGCATGGAAAAATATTCTACCACTTATGTTTATGAGAAGTAGGAAAAAAAGAAGATTTTGAACAAGCTTGTGAAACACTATTCACTTCTGAAAAGAGCTTCCCTCTTTGCCCAAAGAACACAGGCACAAACAGCAGCTCTGATACTACTGGCAGCCCAAGGCCAGGTGCAGTGGGCCATAGTACAGGTATCTCTAGGATCAGCAAGGGGATTGGTCCCCGGACATCCCTTCCTCGCTTGGATTCAAAATCTGCAGATGCTCCAGTTCCCTATATAAAATGACATCTAATCTGATTTAAACATTACACAGTATATACATGTAGTGAAACATTGCATGGTACTCCCTTAACAGGTACAATATTGTATGTTTTATGTAGTAGTTACAATTAATTGAATAAACAACAAAATAAAAACGACATATAACCAATGCACATTCTCCTGCATATTTTAATCATCTCTAGATTACTTATAATATCTAACATAATGCAAATGCTATGTGAATGTTGTTATACTGTATTGCTAAAGGCATAATGACAAGAGAAAACATCTGTATGTGTTCAGTACAAATGCAATTATTTTTCCAAATATACGAATATCAAAGATCTGCATCTGATTTGATCCACAGGTATTGAATCACAGATACAGAGGGCCAACTGTATAAAGAGGGAGGGACATGGCCTCAGCTGACTTTCAGTCCTCTCATGAGTTGACATTAGTTTCCTGATTCCCCAGAAAATATTGAACAATCTGTCAGGTCTGGGAGAACAAGTCCCTCCTAATTCAGTCTCATCCTCTGAGGGCTGTTCTCAGGATAAGCCCCTTCCTACCCTCAATCCTCACCTCTAATCAATTTTTAAATTTCTGATTCTTTTGTGTAGCTAGACATCATTATTCTAGTTTCACTAAACATTGCAATGTGTTGGCACCGTTGTATTGATTCACTGTAAATATCCAGATGTTCTCTTATATTTTTATTGAATCATGTTCAGCTTTCCTAGGAAAAGAGAAACTTAAGGCAGATACCTACATTTTTTAAGATACAGGCTAGAAAACAAATAATGAGTCATATGTGATATTTTGTGCCAATGGTTCTCACATTCTGTAAGTTGAACTGTAGTATTCTTGTGCTGACATTTAAAAACAAGGTACAAGTAGGACAATATTCCAGGTTTCTAACAAACTTAAGTTTCCATTTAAAGTTTAATCTGCACAGAGCTCTCTGTAATGAGGAGGAGCAGACTTCATGAATGAAGAGCAGAAACTCCTTTAGTCTATCACAGCCTCAGATGGATTAAAGCGAGAAGCAAACAGGCCTATTGATGTGCAAAAATGGTCCAGTTTTTAAAAACATATTCTAAACCCTTTCTTCCACAGGCAGGTGAGGCTTGCCAGGACTTACCAGGATCAGTCTGGCATATATAGCCTCGCTTACTGTCACAGGTATCATCCATCCACATTCCTGCATCTCTTGATTTGCCTCCAATGATAACAACACAGTCAGCCTGTACATTTTTAGATAAAGAAAAAAAGGAGAGAATATTACTCAGCACTCAAAGAGAATAAAATTATGGCATTTGCAGGTAAATGGATGGAGTTGGAGAATATCATGCCAAGCAAAATAAGCCAATTCCAAAAAACCAAAGGCTGAATGTTCTCTCTAATAAGTGGATGCTGATCCATAATAGGGAAAAATGGAGGAACTTTGATGGGTCAAAGGGGAGGGAAAGGTGGGGAGGGGGCATGGGGGAAAGACGGTGGAATGAGATGGACATCATTACCTTAGGTACATGTATGACTGCACATATCGTGAGACACTACATTGTGTAACACCATAGAAATGAGAAGTTGTGCTGCAATTGTATACATTGAATCAAAATGCATTCTGCTGCCATATATACCTAATTATAATTAATTAATTAACTAATTAAAAATACTTTATATTACAAATTTTTATGAGAATATTATTATTCATATAGAATGGCTGTATGAGTAAAATAGAGTAATTAATATGAATTACCTTTATTAGTTATAAAATACTAAATTACAAAATAAAAAATTATTAAGAGGCAAAAAAGTATGAATTAATAACTATTAAAACAGCTCATTAATAAGCAAAAAAAAATGTCCCTCGGTATTCTTAACTTTGTGGAGTTTTAAGGTAGTCCTCATTACAGTATATTCAGTCCATCATTACTTTCCAACCAACTGTAGATCCCTCACATTTAAACCCTTGCTCTCTGATTTGAAAAACAAACAGATCTGGATAAATTTTAGAGATAGGCTTGAAACTTTGTTATCAGAAATGTTATTAATTTCTACGAAAACTTAGGAACCAAAGTTACTATGAGAACACGATCTCTTCCCCATATGAATTCTCACTATCCAAACCCAGAAGAAGGGATCCTATGATTAAAGGGAAATGAGAACAATTCATATTGTTCATCACTAATTTAATTTATAAAAGTATTATTTCAGTTTCTGAACAAATTATTAGTATAGCCAGAAAGTTTCACATCTTATTTGTAATTTTACTAGGGAGTATGACAGAGTTGGAAATATATTTCATTTGTTTAGTTGTGAATGTGTTTTTAATTCCAGGATTCCATAGAATAGTCTAACAATCAAAAGTAAACCAAAAAGTCTCATGAAACCTGTACCTGCCAGTGGCTTTTTTTAATCAACCATTGTAATGACTACAGTTCACATTCATAATGTCTGACACTGGTCTAAGTGCTAGACATGTATTAATTCATGTAAACTCACACCCATCCTTATGAGGTAAGTACTATGATTGTGCCCATTTGTAAGATGAGAAAACTGAGGCATGGGATCACACTTGGGCCCCAAGTTCACACTGCTAATACATGAAAAAGTTAGCTTTCAAACTCAGGCACTTAGGCTCTAAACCTACACATTAATGACAAGTTTCACTGCTTCCCAAAGAGGGAGATATGCAAGGTGCCCTGGAGGCAGGAGGGCTCCCAGGGAAAGGGCTTCTTGTTGATAAAGAGCCATAAAGGCAGGACGATTGGATGTAATGCCAGGAACTTTCCTAATCTACCAGCATGCCAAGGAGACAGAGCAGAAAGATGGGAAAAAATTTGCATTTATGGCGATGCTGGTGAGCCATGTATCATACTTCACAAATTTCAAGATGCATATTTTTCACATATTAACATTTCTAAATAAAAGATGCATATCATAGTCAGCAGCACAACAGAGATTATCTGGCAGTCATTCTTTCTGAGTGGCACATACAATAACAGTGAATTTTTCAATCAATGTTACCTTAGGTATTATACCTTAGATATAATGAAATACTGTAATTAGTCTTTCAGACTCTGGACTTTCTGTCATGGAAAAAATCCATATTCCTTAGTGTTGATACTGGTTGGTGTGTGTGTGAGTGTGTGTGTTATATTTATGGATGGCAACATCCGTCTAGATAAACTCACCCTTCCATAGAACTGAGTTACTGGTGCTGCAGCCTCCTAACCACATGAAGGTATTGGAGGACTTGAATGCAGTGGCCAGCTTCTAAAATTTCACCTAAGTACAAGGTCATGGACTACCCCATTGGCTCCACCCAGCCCAACTCTTCAGAAAGTGAGTTTTGGACCATTTAACTTCCACCTCTATCTTCCTTCCATTTCCTCTTCCTTTTTAAATTCAAATATAGGAAAAATGCAGAGTGTGCATTTTCTTTCTTCCTGTTTCTTTCTCTGTCTTTTGCTCTAGAAAACATACCTTCACAAATTTAAAAGAATAGAAATTAGGGCTGGGGTTGTGGCTCAGCAGTAGAACAATTGCCTCACCCATTGTGAGGCCCTGGGTTTGATCCTCAGCACCATAGAAAAATAAATAAATAAATAAAATAGAGGTATTATGTCCAACTACAACTAAAAAATAAATATTTTTTTAAAACAGAATAGAAATCAGACACAAACTATAATGAGAAATTAACCAGAAATCACTATTAGCTAGAAAATCTCCAAATATTTAGAAATTAAAGAAAATGCTGTCAAAAATACTAAGTCAACGATGATACACCAATTTAATTATTTTTAATGTGATTGCAGTTCATAAACAATGCAAATGATGAAAGTGTCCCTGTGAAGTAAACATACCCTTAACCCATTTTCTGAGTCATAGCTGATGGCAGATCCCACTACCATGCAGCTATCTTGTCAACCTCCATTCTGCCAGCATCCTTGTCCCATGAGCCTTAACTATCCCATACCCTTAAGTCCTACATTCCAAAGATTCTCCAACCATCCACATCCACAATCCTAGTTCTTCTTTTCTTCCATTAGCCTGACTCACAGTCTCTGCTCTACTCCAAAAATCTTGTGGTTTTAAGTGCAAGCCTTTTAAAGGTTAAAAACAAAATCATACATTTCTTCATGCTTTTTACAATTCCTAGCACGTTGTTTGACATCAGCAGGGTGACAGTTCTATTACATAAGAATAAAAGTAATAAAGAAGTGATAGTCTTCAGTTCATGCACAAAAACACATGTGTTTAGCACAGTGTTTAGCACATAAAACATCCTGTAAATAGGAGCTCAATAATGATAATGATGATACTGATGATATCTTTAGGAGCAATAGTAGCTTCCAGACCTGCACCCCAAATACTACAACAGCTGCAAGGGGCAAGGGACAGCTAATGGAAAGAAAGTTGATAAACCCTGGGTTCAAGAGTTACTACCAGCAATCCCTTCTTATTAGAAAGCCAGTTTTCCTACTGCTCACTACCACCCATCCCCCAAGGCAAAGAGCTCCCAACCAAACAGAAACCCCTTAATCAAGGTCTGAAATAATTAAAAGCTCCAAGAATGGACCAAATTAAAGAATACTCTTGTAGACTTTTTACCATGGGAGGTTAATCAATAATAAGATGAGTCTACTAAAGCCCGATAGTGCATAGAGAGGTGATCTGAAAGTCATATTTACATCTTCATAAGAAAGACTGCTTCTTCTTCCACCAGGGTAACCTTTCCCCCAGTTTGTATAATGAACTCCTCGCCCATCTGTCCAAAGGAACGTGTGCTCTGAATTCACATCATTCAGCCCAGTCCAGGCATTAAAAGTGGAGTCCTTCATGAGATGGGTAAGAAATGCTAAAAGAAAGTTTCAAAAACTGATTTTAAACCTCAGGGATTAACACTCAAAATATAGAAAATATTTTTATATATGTTCATTTTCAAATACAGAGCATGTGTACAAGACTTTATTACTATTTAAAAGCACTTACCACGAAAATAAACACATTCTAACCTTAGTATCATGTTAGCCACTGAACTTTGGACTTTGAAAAGTTTCCTACAATAAAAGAGTAGGTTTTATCGAGGCTACTGGCAAGGCACCAGGGCGAGGGACCCAAAGGAGGCTGAAGTTCATCCCATGCCCCACTCTCCTATTGTACACCTTGATCTGGGTTGTGGTTCCCTACTATCCTGCAGAAAGAGGTACATATTTTTAAAAATTCATAAAAAGTCATCCTATGAATTAGCAGCTGCTCCTAATTACGAAAATAAAACTCTCCCATTATAGCCACTATGGAAGAGAAGGCTCTTAAAACTTCCAAAAATCGACATTAGGAACATTAGCTTCTCAAACTAGCTGTATCTCAGATTGCTGAAGGCAAAGAGCCACCCAAGTGGGATTCCTTCTGGATGGGCAACTCCTAGGGATCGGTGGTCATTTGCTGAGTGTGCTCGGACCAGAGCACCTCTGAGACTGCAGTGTTCCCATTATTGGGTAAAGAGATCCAGAGAAATTCAGATCATGTAGTGCAATATGGTTTCTTGTTCTTTTATCAGTTCTGTGGCACAGAGGACAGTGGCAAATACCCAGGAGCTATAAAAAGGTTTAAATGCACATGTGCCCCATTCCTTTCCATTAGCTCATGCCTATTGCAGCAGCTGCCTTCTGCTGCCAGCAACTGTGCCCAAACCATTGGGTTCTAAGTGGATGAGACCTGCTCAAAAGCAATCTGCAAACATTTATGCTTGAACATGGCTCCTGAATGTAAATTGGCAATGAAATGACTAAGGGCTTGGGGTTACTAATAGAAAATGCACTCAAAGTCTACAGAGATCCATTGGTCTGTTTACTGATGAACCCACAGTCCCAAGGAACCGCCATTGCCACGTTAACTCTTTGCAGAGGGGTAGAGGCAGCAACCACCTCACCTCGAGACTAACTTTTTTTCTAAATTAACTAAAGGTAAAAAAACAATAACAACAACAAAAAAAGACTTCTTCCAACATGTTTCAGAGAAACAAGAGCATAGGCAGATATTTACCTTGGTTTTATTTTGATTCATGAATAAGATCCTAACTTTTGCCTTCTTCCCAACTTGACATGAAATGTGGAAAAGTTCCACCTGCCAATATTCAGCCTGACTTTTTTCACTGCCAACAGCCACAATAAGAATTCAACAATGTGTGCCTGTTTTGCCAGGAATAATGTTATTTTATCTGAAAATTGTTTCCTTCTGTACATCTCTATTACCCACGTTCTAATTTTGTTATGCCAGGAATCAGCACTTTGTGGTTAAGAGAGGAAATCCATTATTGTGTTTCTCTGCTGGGTATTAGGTTAATACATTTTGAGCCCAAAATGTGGAGGCCAGTTAGACAAATGTGAATGTAATATTCTTGTAACGTGTGCTGTGGCTTGACCCTTTTCTTTGGGTGTCTGGCAAGTTGTTGAACTTGTCAAAGATTCTCATTGAATGCTTGGTTAGTTCATTGTACAATTTGTTCACATGACAGCATTTATACAATAAATACGGGGAGAGCACCAGGTAGGTTTCTAGTTCCTTCTTTCTTGTGTACTTTTGAAAACATATCATTTTTGGTAGTAAGTGATTTGAGAAGTCAAAGAATCTCAGAATAAAAAAAATAGAGAGAATATCCAGTCTACATTTTTTTTCCTGTAACACCCTCAGAAATGAATGTATACAACAAACATCTAATGAACCTCTTCCCTATACTATGTAGCAGCCAATATGTCTGGCTCTGTCATATGCACCTGAATATCCTCCAGTTTAAGCATCTATCTGATCAGTTTTTGCTATTTGGGATGGCCTCTTCATTTTGAACCCAAATCTGTTTCCCTGTAACTGCCACTCCTTGGTCTTAGGTTTTCCTTTGGGGGGCTGCTCAGGATAATCCTCCAAATTGTCTAACATTAGGGTCTTTTATTCATGAGTGGTTTCCAAACCCTTTATCATTAGTCTGAATCTCCTGCAGTTGGTCAACATCCTCCTTCAAAAGTACAAATCACTGGGTTAGGGTTGTGGCTCAGTGGTAGAGCACTTGCCTACCATGCATGAGGCACTGCCTTCGAGACCCGGCACCACATTAAAAAACGAAATAAGCAAAAGTACAAATCACAAATTTAACCTAATACCTATCTTAGCAAAGCAGCCCCACCAAAGACCACACAAACTGACTGAGTTCCTATCTTTGATGACAGTAGAATGAAGTTTACCATCTGGTATATGACAAGGTCTCTCCTTTGATGCTCTTCATTGCTCTGGTTTATCCTCACATTTTATCAAAAAAATTTTTTCTAAATTTGTTCATAGTTCACATTTCTCCATTTTATTGTATTATAAGACATAGGATCATGTGACTAGAGGAGAAGTAAATGGGAAATCGGCAACTTTTTCTTTTATTCTTGGAACCACTTATCCTTGGCTCTTTGGGAAACAAACTGATTTAGTGAAATCGGGATGTGACTGAAGCTGGGTTTGATTCCAAACTTGTCTTTTACCAGGCAAGTTCCCTGACTCAAGGCTCTCTGAACACCATTTCCTCACTCTCCGACTGGAATAATAATTCCTGCTTCATGAAGTGGCTATGAAAATGGAAAAGGATTCCATGTAAAAGAGCCAGCATGATGCCTACAACTGAATAAAATTATTCTAAATAGGTTTTGTTGTGGTGTTTTTTTCCTTTTCCCCTTACTGGTTTTTACTCTGAAAAAAAAAAGCCAAAAAGATACAGTCCGTAATCTTACCATTCCATGAGCAAACTTACATACTTAAATTCTTATCAATGACTGGGAAAGGGCCTGCATACCTTGCTCTTTTTCATTGCGTATGGATACCAAATTTCCTTTGAATCCGATGCAAGTTTTTCGTGCCTCTTGCCAATTTTTTCTTTCTTCTTCAGCAAATCCAAAGATTTTGAAACACTGAGATGGAAGGAGAAAAACAGGGGTTCATTAAAGATAATAAAGTTTGCTCTATGGAAATCAAAATTATTCATCTAGCTTAGAACTAACTGGGGTTGTAGTTCAATGGTAAAGCACTTGCTTGCACATGTAAGGCACTGGGTTCCATCCTCAGCACCACATAAAAACAAACATATAAAAATAAAAGTATTTATTTATAAATATATATATATATATATATATATATAGTTGTAGATGGACACTATTATGTAAAGGATTAGAGCTAAATACAAATTTTATTAACAACTAAATAGGGATTAAAAATTATGTTAGCTTTTTGCAAGGTTTTATTCCCCCTTGAGATAAAGCATACAATGATTTGGATATCTTAAGTATGTTGTTCTCAAATTCTATTGAGAATTTGTCACAGGAACCTTCACTTATACTTGCCAAAATTTTCCTAAAGTGCTGAGTAAGCAAAAGTTAACTTTGAGCTGAGAGATCTGCATCGTCACTGTGCATGTTGGTTGATGTCAAGACTACAAAGAATTCTCCTAATACCTTGTTATTGTACCAACTCCAACCTTCTTTACAGCCACCTGGACTGGGGGGCGTAGTAGGCATAACAGTGGCATTAATGCTGCTGTTGTGTCGCTGGCAAATGAAGGCATTTGGATAGCCACAGTTAATGTCATTCCAAAACCCTGGCAAACAGCAAAATAGTTAAATTAGACTTACATGTTTATGTTTCAAAACACTTACTCTACTTTAGAAATATGTTTATATTTTATAAGGGTTCTCAAAAATAGTTTAGAACATAATCAAATGGCTTTTTTTCACAAGTGACTAGAAGAATCCATGTAATATCCCTTTTGCTATTTTACTTAGACCAATAATAGAGATCAACTTTATAGAGATTTCTATGAACCAAACGTGTGCTTGGTGTTTCAGATACATTATCTAATTAACAATCTCTACTAATAATAACAAACTAATAATATCTAAGCATCTGTACAATTTTAGATGCATTATCTCACAAAATCAGAGTAGGTCATTATTCCCATTTTAGAGCAATAAATAAAGGAGCTAGAAAAAGAGATAAAGTGATAGATAAACATATTCTGGATATTTGTCACAAGTAAGATCATGAAAAAAAATGTTTTTAAATTTGGGAAGAAATGAGAAGATTGACTATCATTTGTTAGTTTAATGGTAAGCATCCTTACACATTTCTCTTTATAAATTGAATAGCTATGCTGTTAAGATTAGAACTGTCCTGTTTTCTTGCTTGACTTAAGTGTACACTTGCTACTTTTACCCTAAGGATGTAGGAAATGACACATAACAGCACAAAACAAACTCCAGAAGATTTGTGTGTTGTCTACCTGAAGTTGTATACATGGTTACACAGTTTTCATCCTCATTTGCAAAATTGGGTTCACCTGTGGCCCAAGCCACATAATCCACTTTACTTCCATCCATCCAACTGGAAAAGAAAATTCAAGCATTTTGCAACAATTCATTCAGTAACATAATGGGCTACAACCTGGAGATGGGAAATGGCAAGTCAATCAAAGAGAAGGAAGCATAGAATGCCCAGCAAACAGAAGAAAGAATCTAGAGACACTGGCAGGAAAATCCCAAGGCCCAGGTACTTGGTTGTCCCTGCCCCATTGTAGCAATCAATCCTCATGCCTATGGGTCAAATTCACAAACAATATCAAATTGGATTTAATCTTATAAAACATCATCATCTTTGTTTTAGTATATCATCAGTCATTAGTAAATTGTCCACTAAAATGTCCTAGACAGATATGAATGATGAATAATTTTTCTCCCCTCTTCTTTCACCTCCCTGGAAGAAACTACTTTTAGGTCTGAAGTAGGAAAACAAATGAAGATCCCAATTGCTCTGGAAGTTGGCCAGAAGCAGAAATCCCTCCACAGTACTATTCAGGCACAATTCCCACATAACCACCCATAGAGAGGCAGAGAATACAGAATTTCTTATTAGGCCCATTCTTTGAGTATTCTGGTCACTCTGGTTCTTTGTAAAGTAGATGGGCCAAATGCCTATTTGCCTAAGTTATAGAAACACAAAGACTGTGAAGGCTGGGAGGAAAAGAAATCACCAGACCCTGCCTTCTCATTTTAGAGATGATAAAATAGGTCCTTTAAAAATAACGAGTAGAAAGGTTACATTTTGCAAGATTAAATCCAATTTTAGTTGTTTGAGAATTTGTAACATTGAAAATATTTAAAAGGATCATTTATAATTCCTTTTTACTTTTCTAAGGATGCTTTCAGACCAAAAATACTGTATATGTTTTTAAAAAGCATTCAGCAAGCAAAACCCCAAACAACTTATCCTAAGAAAAGTTGTTTTAGCTTGATTTACTTACGTAAACTTCTTATCCAAACTGATCAATAAACCAATAAAATATGGTGTCTGCACACCATTCCTGTTTATCTGTAACATAAAATTTTACATAAAATTCAACTCACGACCACATAATAATCAAGTTCTTAAATAAAACCTATATATTAATAAGTCTATTTGGAATGTTTTCTAAGGTTCATGAGAAAATGTTGTGTATGTTCATGTATGTATACTTTTCATAGAAATAAAAAGAAGATATACATACAATTTAGCAACCCACATTTATAAAGGAAATTTCTTAAGTCACTCACCATAATATCAAATGTCCATAATAGTTAGGTGTTGAAAACACCTTTTAAAACAAAGTAGCTAGTGGAGATTGGGTATCAAAGTAAATATATATATTTATATTTGTAATATATGTCCATAGATTTACAAATTATATATTTATATATTATATTTATTACATACTACATGCATTCAATATGTGGGTTTAATACATAATACATAATATAAATATATGTAATATTGTAGTCAGATTACATACTCATGCCAATGTTTTCAAATGAATTTTTTTTCTTGTAGTACAGATCAATGTGTTTTTTGCTATTCCTCTTATCTCCTTTCTTGCAAACAATTAGGGGTGCCATGAATATTTTTAATAAGAAAGACCCTGAGCTAAGCACTCTTCGAAAAAAATAAACTATACCTTCAGCAATACCTAACAATTTGAGGACATCCAAGAAAGCTTTTTACATGAATAATCATACTATACTATTTGTTAGCCAGCAATTTGGTCCAAATAAGATTTTTGAAAAATTAATAACCAAAATGTACAATGACATAAAAAGAATCCAGGAGTGATATACAACAATTAGTTAAGATTTAAGATCTTTGTAAATCAAATGAATGAATTCAAAGCCATCAAGTATGGATCTTCATAAAGTCCAAACTAAAAAAAATGTTTCTGGATTCTGCAATTCTACATTGAATATTCAAACTATAAGATATAACTTCCATCAAGACCTCTAAAAGAGGGTGCTTCCATTATGGCCCCCTGAATTTAGGACCTTCAAATTCAGCAGAGTTTGAAATTCTATCATGGAACACCAAGGGTACACATCATTTTTGGTTTACAACATGTCACCTTTTCTTAAATTAATCATGTTCTTACATATTTCCATAGAAACTTCTTTTCGCTTTCACTTTTAATAGAAACGAGATCACCGAAATTCCTCTTGCAGAATGCTCGAGCATTGTCCATGGTTTCCTTCTCTTTGCTAAAATAATACTGGTAGTCTTTGTAAATAACCCACCCATCCTCAGTGACTGGTGGATCTGAAAAAAAAAAATGGTGAGAAAAGGTAATGAATTTTACTTGGATAAAGAATCTATCACTTTGAGAGCCCAGAATAAGCAGAATTTCTATATCAAATATAGAATAAATTGTCAGCCAAATATTCACCTTTCCCCAACCCTATAAAAACTAGACGGTTACTCTCCCTGAGTTCCATGTGTCATTAATGGGTAAAATAAGTCCCAGTGTTACTTTCATCAATGGGATAGCACAGCTGGAAGCATTTACATATGTGCACCCACAGTGTTCTAGGTCCAAGCAATGTGAGCCATGAGGTCAGATTTTATCCTATTCTAAGAAATAACTTTTTATAGATGATCTTGGGTACATCAGGATAGAATTGGAAAACTAAGGAATTCATACACCAAGAAGACTTCTGAGGCTTCTTTCAAACAGTAGAATTTTGTAGTCCTATGCTACAGTGGGTTGAACAGGGGCCCACAAAGATACCTAGGTCCTAATTCCTGAAATCTGTGGATGCTACCTTATAAGGAAAAGGAATTTGTAAGCGTGATTAAATTAAGTATCTTGGGAAGGAGAAATCTTCTAGACAGACTCTACATGTAACACAAGCAACCTTACAGAGGGACACAGAGGGAGACTTGACTATGTAAGGGTGATAGGATAACTGAAGCAACAGGCTATATTGCTGATTTCATGGAGCAAGGGACCGTGAATGTCTGGATGCAAGGGGAGCAGCTCTAAAAGCTGGTGAAAGCACGGAATCAGGCTCTCCCTTAGCGCTTCTGGAGGGAGCATGAGAAATGCAGACATCTGGATTTGGGCCCATTGAGGTCAATTTCTTCCAGAACTGTAAGAAAATAAGCGTGTGGTTTTTTGAGCCACCAAGTTTGAGGTGATCTGTTGCACTAGCAGCCGTTGGCCAGGTGCTTAAGAAAAAGAAATCAGGGCCCTTTGGTTCATAAGCTCATGTGAAGCTATTCTAACAGGTATTATGCTTGTGCATATGAGCTTCTCTCTAGAAAGGAAAATCTAATCATCTAAAATCCAATGGGAATATTTCTGGAGGATGTGACTCTCGTCCTGGATTCCAGGGTGGCTTTTTGATCTTGTGTTCCTTTGGAACACTTATCTGTGTTTGGTGACTTCCTTCTTATCTTGTGAGGTGACATTCCCTGACAGTTCCTTTATTCTGTTAGTTTGTTTGGTTCTACTAATAAAAGGAGAACACAGGGGTACCAGAAGATGACATGAGATTCTCAAAGAACTTCTGCTTTCCACCCTCCTAGGATAATTATTTCCATTGTTAAAGGGAAAAGTTGGAGGTAGGAAAAAGACTACCAATTCAGAAATCAGAAAATATAGAAACACCTACTGTCTTGAGGAGCCGGTGTTGGCTCTGGTTGTAAGGTTTTTCCTGTAAAACAAGAGAAATATAGATATAAAATGTAATTGAACCTCTGTGATCACAGATCCTTCTATTTTCATGGGTCAATATTGTTAAAATCTTAACCATTCACACCCGACCCCTTCCACTGTCCAATTCACTTATGTTAAGAGGATGAAATGAAGGAAAAGAGAATCATTAATTAAAACTTAAATAAATTTAGGTACAATGATGGTCACCAGAAATAGGAAGGTAGTTTCTAGGCACATGTGGTAGGTTGTCAAGGAAAGAAAAGAACACAAATTTTAAAGTCAGGAAGGCTAGCTTCAAATGCTAAGCCCACATTTAAAGTGTTTATTTTGTCAATTGCTAACAGGGATTAGTAATATGTGTAAATAGGTGAGGGTAAAATGTGTGAGTTACTGGCATGCAGTAGGCACTCAACAGACATTAGTTTTCCAGTAAGATATCTTATAGTTAGCTGTGAAATCACTTACAATTTCATCATTTGAAACTACTCAAATGTGAACTATTTATATATAAAATATGAATACATTTTCTTCAAAGAATCTTATTAAATGTATGTTTTACTAAAATTTAAATAAATTAATTTTCTTTCTGAGTAGTTAATAATATATCTGAAAGGATACTAGCCATTGGCATCCAGGAGACCTTTTTAAAAATGTGGTCCCTTAACTCCTCTGATCCATAACTTTGAAAGCACTGTCTAAGCAGAGGGAGTAAGGAAAATAAACAGTGAGCAGGGGCACTGTGGTGCCCTAGCAGCAAAGTGGGGTGGTTGCCATCATTCCCCAACAGCAGAGGGCAATGTGGTTCCATTTATCTATTTAACAAAGGAAGCTGATGTAGATTTTTGTTTCAAGGGTAGGTTTGCTTTCTTGTTTGTGGTGTGTTTACCTTAACATCAGAATCTGGATCCTCTAACTTCAGTGTTTGAGTTGGATGTGTGAAACTTTCTGAGTCATCATCTAATGGTCTAATGGTGCTTGTTCTTAATGTTGAATATTTAGCTGAGAAATCAATAAACTACTCAGGCTTGGAGCAACTATTTGATGACTAGTGTAGAAGGTCAGAGGTGAAAACCAAAAAGGAATTTCACTGCCTTTTCATGACTTTGCTTCCTAGCACAGGACACCCACCCACTTCTATTACTGTAAAACCTGCTACTGTAGAACCTAGAATCAGAGCTGCCTATGGGAATAATTTTGGAGGATGTGACTCTCGTCCTGGATTCCAGGGTGACTTTTTGATCTTGTGTTCCTTTGGAACACTTATCTGTGCTTGGTGACTTCATTCTTTTCCTGTAAAGTGACAGTCCCTGGCAGTTCCTTTATTCTGTTAGTTTGTTTGGTTCTACTAAAAAAGGGAGAATACAAGGGTGCCAGAAGATTAGTTCCAATCTCAGAGAAAGGGGAGGACAGTTGATCATACCTTTTTGTATTTGGCAAATCCAGTTGTTAAGATGTTCACAGTTAATATCATTCCAGGACATACCAGGCTCACCCTTCAGCTCACCACAGTACTCAACATTTTGATAATTATTAGGTTCTCCATAAGCCCAGTTTTCATATGAAACCTATATTAGAAATATTAGATTTGATCTTGGCCAAGATGCAATGCTATATTAGGAACATGATTGCAACTATTAATGACTTGTGTCGGGCCAGTGTCAATCATCTATCCAAACAGAAAAAGAAAGAAATACTTGCATTTTTCATCCACTTGTTTATTTTTAACCAGAGGTTTGATTTGAAAGCAGTTTATGAACATGAATGAGAAAAAAAATAGCTTTTATTACATGGAAACTTTTGAAGTTGACTAAAGTAGGCAAATGATTTTTATGACATTTCCTTTGCTCTCATTAAATATAATGGATCCAAGGGACACAAAAGTGGGATTTATATATAGGAAAAACTTAGCAAAAAAGTTCCACTTCTCTATATGGAAAGCTACTAAAAACCACTCTTAAAAGATTATATTTCAGTGAGTTATGGAAGCTTTCTTTTTATTAGATGGGTAGGAAAAAGAAATGCAATTAATTCTTCTTACACATAAAAATACCTATAAAATGTTGCTAACAGACCAACCAAACTTTGCCAAAATAAACAGCAGAAATCAATCAAAGCCCTGCATTTAGGTTCTCTTCAGAGTTTTCATTATGTAATCAGTGCCCACAGGGTTTTAGACTAAGGATTATGAACTATTTTCCAGAGATATAAATATAAAATCCAGATATCCATGGAGCCATCAAATAAACCATCCTATGTACCTTGGAAAGTTGCTGGTAGGTTACAAGAAGAGACAGAACTGAGGTTATACAAAATAATTTCCTGTGACAATTAGAAGGGCTAAATGTTGCCAGAAAGTGCCCCAACCTTTCATTTGTCCAATTCTGAGAATGGAGAAATATGATAAACCATAACAGTTATTAATGGGAATGTAAAAACTTGTACCCAGTTCTGCTAATCCAGAAGGTACTATATAACACTTAGCAATTTTGTATACAATGAAGACATTTTTTTATTATACTGTTGCAATGATTTTTTATTCTTTTTTTCATCCAGTAAATGACAGGATTGCTTTGGATTAACAGGAAAACTATTTACCCAAGAACAGGCTACTGGTCCTTCAAATTATGTTTATTTTGCATAGAAAACTGTCTAGTTATCACAATAGGCTGTCTTGCTGAAAAGTTTGAATTAAACCAAAGGATAATATCAAAATAAGTATGTGCATAGGTAAAAATGATATAGTAAATTACTCACAGGAGAACCATCACTCCAGGTGAACCCCTCTGAAGGACTTACATACGTCAATCCAAGCCAAAACAGTTCATGGTAGTTTCCACTAGTCCTAACAAAGCATAAATAAAAAAATGGGATTTCAAGAAACAAGTTCAGTCATCTATAAGGACTTACCAGATTTGAAAGTTACCTCCAAAATATAAATAAGCTAACACACACGTAAAAAGATTTAGCAACTAAATTTAAGTATTGTAGAATAGATATACATTTTGGTACAACCCATCATTATACTGAAAATGGCCCACTCATTGAGAAGACATCCTTGCAAAGCCATGAAAAATGGTGATTTATTCATTCATTCAATCAATGTGTATTGAGTGTTTTCTAATTTGTAGGGCAAATTTATCACTGGCTTTAAACTTATAAAATCAAAGGAATTCGAACTAAAAGTAGATCAAAAAGGGCCCATGGAATGGGAACCTCAAGCAGGTGTTTAAAGTAGCTTCCTGTACCAACAATTTCAGAAAAGTAAGCATTTTCTCAACAATGTGAGAAAATGTTCACCTTGACCTGAATTTGACTGAGCACCAGATACGAACTGATAAAAGAAAAGACACTCACGTGATTAATCGCCATATGATTTGCTGCTCCTCTTTGTTGTTGATGCTGGCTAGCTCTCCACCCAGAGCTCTACAAAAATCTCGAGATTCAAACCATGTTTTCTTCTCATGTTTTCCTTTTGCAAACAGCTAAAGATATGATTTCAGAAACCATTTTACACTTCGTGGCTTATCAAATCAAGAGAAACTATCATCTTCCTTTGATGAGATTTCATTTATAGAAAAGCAAAACATGGTAATATTATCCCCAAACCATATAATTTCCTTCTTGTAAAAACAACTTATGAGTGAATGTTTGGGTAAGAAAATTTGTTTTGTTTTTTTTTTTTGAGAAAATCTTACAAAATAAAAGCATTTTATTAGATTAAAATATTTCATTAGATTAAAATCTTAGGAGCCTATCGACTAGGTACATAGCTCATTGTAGAAGAAAGAGTTAATTTGGTTAAATGAGGAAAGAGGCATAGAGATGCAAAAATGTAAATTTTTTTGGTACAGAAAAAAACAAAAATGAATAAGGAAAGCCTTAAGGAAATGACCTCCCTAAAATTGTGCCATAGTTTGTTATCCTGTTTAGCTTAAATAATGAATAATCTCACAATATCCCAACAACTTTGTTGACAGTCTCCTTCAAAACTACCTTTTCTTATTTCCTCATACTTGCACATTTTAACAACTATTAGAGCACAAGCAAGGACAGGCACTCATCTGGCAGAAATTAGTTACAAGGTAAACTACATTTAATGGCTGTCATAATTTAAGGACTACATCCTATTTTCCAGAGAACTGCAAACAGAACTATGAAATGGGATCCACAGTGACAATCGGGATCAACCTATGGTAATAGTACATGAATTCATCATAGCCACTGACTTTTATAATTTTCATTCATTGTTCTTCAAGCACATCACCCTAACAGGCTATGGGAAAAGGGATTTGCTTTGAATGGACTATGGCTGCCCAGATTGTCATGAAGTAATGTGAGAAAATCTTCACCTTGACCTGAGTTTGACTAGAGCAAGTTTCCACATCAGTGGTTCCTATGACTTTTAAGTCTCCAGTGAGCATTTCACCTTAATAGACTCTGATATCAGATTTTATTTTCTTAAAAAAAATTACTATCAGCTGAATTTTGTCAGTTCTCACAACTTTATATTTATAAAGATGGTCTATATATGTCCAAATAATGCCTACTCCAACCATGTCTAAAACCTCATCATTTCTAGTGAAACACATATACTGATCCGTTGAACAGCTATCTAAATATTGTCTACTAGAATTTCTAGTTCACTTTCCAGATCTGGATAATTCCACTGTTTCTCTCTCAAAAAAAAAAAA